CACCGACCGTGCCTTCAATTTCTCCGGACGGATGAAAGACTTCGCTGGCTTACGCAAGTTTGGTTTGGGAATAATAACCTCACATAGGCTCGCATGGTATTTAATCGCGTCACCTTCCAGCCATGGCGCTAATGTCCTTGAAGGAAGCTTAAGTGATGTGACAAGTATTCCCTCCCTCTGGTTGAAAGGTAAAAGTGCAAGCAAATCCAGCAGTACTTAAAGGTACAGCGGTGTGGTAATCTTAAGTCCCCAATGTTGGTTCAAGAAGTGTGAGTTGTTCAAGTGGAAAAAGCGCTTGCTTCTTGTCACGCCGTTTTTCACCCAGACTCAACGAAGCTTTTTATATTTTGGGGTTGTAGATTAGAGCTATCCCTATTCCTTCCATGGCCTTCAAAATCTCTGAAGAAATGTTGTTTTTTCTGCTCGGTGTACCTTTCTTTCTGCGTTGTGTAAGGTTGAGTCACAAATAAGTGCCGAATGGACAAAAACTTTCAAAAGTTCACAGCTTTCTTTTAAAACATCTTGAACATCTTGACTGAAGCACAGTCCCAGCAGGGTCGAAGTGGACGTGGCGGCAAAAGGTCGCCCCTCCCCCCTTTTGCCAGCCGTGGAGATCGCGTGATTGGCTGCGGAGGCATTTGCGATCGTTTCGGGACCACAGAATCTAATTGAAGTCGATTCACGATGCAATTCATGATCTCCGATCTTGCTGAGACTGTTGCTTCGAGTGCCATACCTATTTACCGCAGCTGTCTACAAGTGTCCACTATCTAATCGTTCGTGAGTGGACACCTCTCTCAGAACTAAACAATCTTCAACGTCAAAAATCAGTGGATGTCTGTTCTGATGTGTTGGCGATGTTCGTAGTTTTTCCCGATAAGGAAACGAGCAAGCAAGCGGAACAACTGGTGATTGATTACTATACCTTAGTAGACCATGAAGAGCGATCATGAGGCTATGTTTCTGTATAGTATTCTGGCATCCCCTGCGCAGTGAAACAATTTCATGTTATGGAAGCCTCAACTTTGCGACGCAGTAGCCCTGACGAATACGTCCAACAGATATTTTCTGTCAGCGAGTCCGCTCCTTCAGATCCACAAATACATATTCCGACAGGTTACTCTTGCTAGATACCCCAGACGAGACGAGATAAAGTAGACAGTGACGAACATGTGTTGAAATGGATGGCATTATTTCTCCCTAAAGACAAATAATGACGTTCGAGTTTTGTAATATGAAAGAACACTAAGATCCACACCTATTCCTTTGCTGGGAGCAATACAAACATTTTTTGGGAAAGATGGCGCGGGTATGAAGAAATCGG